AAATCGATACTCATTAATACTTATTTTCATCTTCTATTCACAGAACCCAAGTCCTCCGGATCCTCTCAACAGTGCTAGACTTCAACCAGCAAGAGTGTGAGAAGCTAGGTCTAGTCAAGTCCGTCAACGCAACCGACAGTCTAGCAGCGGAGTTCGTCAAGTTCTTACAAAACGAGTCCAGGCCAAGAGCTGCCTTGCCTAACATGATGGGGATAGCACAGTCCAGCAGTAGAAGCACCACGCCTACTTCTAGAAGAAGTTCTACGCTTGGTAAGTATCTAAAAAACTTGCAGAAGTTTGTCAAGTTTCTCCAGAACAATTCCTGACACTGCTCTGTCCAAACATGATGGGGCATAGCACAGTCTAGCAGTAGAAGCACCACGCCTACTTCTAGAAGGAGCTTGACTCTTGGTAAGTATCTGACAGCCTTGCAGAAGTTCGTCAAGATTCTCTAGAACGAGTCTAGCTAGACCAAGAGTTGCTTTACCAAATATGACAGTCCATCAGTAGAAACCCCACGCCTACTTCTAGAAGGAGCATGACTCTTGGTGAGTATCTGACAGCCTTGCAGAAGTTCAAGTTTTTCTAAAAAATTCCTGACACTGCCTTGTCCAAACGTTCAAATATCTCCAGAACGAGTCCAGGCCAAGAGCTGCCTTGCCTAACATGATGGGCATAGCACAGTCCAGCAGTAGAAGCACCTTCCATGCTTGGTAATTTTTTTTTCGTTTGTAGACAGACTTCTAAGGCCCGGTTTTTTGATTCGTAGTTAAAATAACCAATAGTCAAATTTGACAGATGTCAAATGACAAGTGGTTAAATATCAGAAAAAAATGTTTTTCGAACAATGGTTAGCTTGACTTTTAGTACATTTTTTAACTATCAGTTAACATTTTGTTAATATTTAACCATTAGTAGCAAAATTTAACAATTTGTTATTTTAACCATGAATCAAAAAACTGGGCCTAAGTACCTACCGCGTGATGCAAAACACTGTGGCATCTTTGTTCATTCAGCCAAATGACGTCCACTGCTGGACAAAGGCCTCCCCCAAGGATTTCCACAACGACTGGCATAGCTGGTCGCCAGATCTTAAAAATATAAAACTAGGTAAGGATTTTATGCCAGAACCTTAGTCAACAAATCAAAAGTATCTTTTATAAATGAATAAATTGTGTCCATAAACAAAAAAGATTTTGTACAGACGACAAAACATGAAAATAAACACTGTGAGCTGCATCTTACGCAGTTATTCGTTCGTTTCAGCCGAAAGACGTCCACTGCTGGATAAAGGTCTTCCCCAAGGATTTCCACAGAAACCGGTCCTGCAGCGCCCGCATCCAGGCACTTTCCGCGACCTTTACCAGATTGTTGTAGTTGTAATAGGATCCAAATATGTTAGTCAACATCATAAACTGTTGCACAACATTTTCTTCACACAGTCGTATAGTCGTATTTTTAATATCCCCCTTATCTTTCCAGGTCCAAATCCCACCCCACAAGAGCTGGGCCACAAACGGAACCCTTCAACTGGCTCCAACAACCTCCTCTTCCAAAACATCGACGCCATAGAGACCAGCTCTACCTTGTCTGTGGACTCCGACCATAGAGACCCGAGAGTCGTGACGCAAATGGACACTGGAGTTAACCAGACCAGAAACACAGAGGGCGCTATTTTGAAACACGTTTTGAAGGATATGTGATATCTTTAAAATACAAGATTCTGAAATATAACTAAACCTAGAAGATTATTTTGACACTATGATCTGGGTTTTTTCAAGACAAGTGAAGAGCTATTTACAGAGCAGGTATTTACCACCCTAGACTGCATTATTTTATACTTAGGCCAGGTTTTTTGATTCGTAGTTAAAATAACCAATGGTCAAATTTGACAGATGTCAAATGACAAGTGGTTAAATATCAGAAAAAATGTTTTTCGAACAATGGTTAGCGTGACTTTTAGTACATTTTTAACCATTCGTTTACATTGTGTTAATATTTAACCATTAGTAGCAAAATTTAACAATTAGTTATTTTAACTATGAATCATAAAAAATGGACCATAGCATTAGTTGTGATTGCGGTCTAATACCTAATAAAATATTAAAAAATGAAGGGGAGAAAGAGACATGCAGCTTTGCCTCAAAGATTTATGATGATTGAATCTTTATCAATTTGGCGCGAAAAATGAATGATGACAGCTGTCATTTCGATAGTGACAAATCATAAAATTAACTTGATGATTGTCTATGGTCAGTTCAGGCATTTTTTCTAACATTTTATCATGCAAAAAATATTACAATATTCGTTCTTTAATACATTATTTTAATATTAGATTGCGTCATCTTCTTAGAGCCAAACTAAGTTTCGATAGTGAAAACTAATCGGAATGTTAGCAAAAATTATGCTTGATAAATACTGGTGCGTGCCGTAAGTTAATAAATAAAATATTTAGATTAAATATTAATAGATTTGTGGTCTTTATATAAATATCCACTAAAAATATCCAGTAAAATATGTCACAGACTTAACTATCTAACTACTTCATTGTCAGAAAACAATGAAGGACATGTCAAGTTTACGTTGATTTTAAATTTTTCGTCTGGAACATACTATTCAGTGTCAAACATGCAATCAGACTACATTTTCATGTCAAACTGACGAAGGGAAACGCCCATTTTGACAGTTTGACATCTGACTATACAAATAACCGAGTGTCATTTAATTAGTGACTTGTATTATTCCGGTCCGGGTATTATAATAATTATTAATAGAAATACCGAAATAATTCACCGAATAATAATACTGGCCATTGGTTTGTGATCATTACTTTTTATTTCAATTTAAAATATGAGAATGCTTGAAAATTTTTCACTTTATTATAACTACTTACATATTCCTTTTCTCATAATATCAACATTTACATCGCACGCTGTAAAAATATTGTAGTCTTTAGTACACTGATATCATTACTAATCACTATTATTTAGAAATAAATGTATAAACTTTCGCATTTATATTAATCTTTTGTAATTATGTATAAATTTTACGTTCAAATAAAAATATTAGTGTATAATTTTAGTTAGTACCTAAATTTCCATATTATGTATTTCCATGTGGTACCTGTATTCATTTAGTTATTATAGATATGTATAATATAATTTACTCTTTCAGTTACGAGCATGTATTAATTTACATTTGATTTCATTGTATAAATAATTTAGATACTTTCAATATTTCGCGTAATAATTTATTCATGTATGTATTGGGTCAAAATATCAAAATGTAATAAATTAAACTAAAATTATTACCGTATGTATACATTTTCGGTTTAAAATAATATATTTTTAATTTGTACATTTTTCGATATAAAACAATTCGCCTATATACATTTTAGTCTCAATCGCTGTCTTGCTACGACTAGATTTATTTTATGTGCTTCTGAATCAATAATAAATAATAATAATATTCAATACAATTGAGAATCTTGTGTCATTTTCAACAGTATTCAAGGCAAATACATGCCACCTTATTATTATTATTTCAGTATCGATCGAAGAGCATTATCTTTCAAATTAATATTTTTAATTGAGTCCCTTAATTGACATTTAAACCAACCTTTCGCATTGAAAATTTTATGTCAAATAACTGACTCGATTAAAAAAGCTAAGTTTCTACACTGTACAGTTGAGTACAAATGTGTTTTCTTGAAAGCCCTTTTGTCAGTTAATTAAAAAAAACAGCCGTATCTTTCAACAACGTTTGTGTGCTAAATAACTTTTTCAATAACATTTTTTGTATACTACTGTTCAAACCTGAATCTAAAAGTTCAAAGTTGATGATGAAAATCGGTTATAAATACCTAAAAAAGTTACCACAGAGTAGAAATCTATCTGAAATGTATTATTTCAATAAAAGATTCTGAAATAATTTAACAGATTTATTGGAATTTTTGTAAATTATCTCTAATAAAACAACACATTTCTACACAAGTGTACAATCGATTTACCAGCAATGGTTTGTGAATATTGTTAATAGATTCATTATTATTACGATGTATTCGTTTAGCATTAAAAAAATAAAATGGCGTCATGAAATTATTATGTTTTATCATTGAGTACAGAAAATCTGTCACTTCTTACCTAGTATTTTCCATACATAAATCTCTAATTTACTCAACTGGTTACACTGTGAACTCTCTTAGAATGCTGTGCCTGACAGACAGGGTCCATAATTGTATCTTATAAAACCATACATATCACCTCTGTAACATTATGGATGCAATAAGCAGCGGTTCCCAAACTTATTTTGTCTACTGCCCACTTTGAGAATAAATTCTTTTTAGCGCCCCCATTTGTAGTCGAGAGTCGAGTGCTCACTCGGTGTCTAAGAGACCTCCTAGTAAATGACGCCTCCCAAGCCTCTACACAACGTCCCGATTTTTTTTCTGGGTTTCTTACCGGCCCCCTTTAAGCCTGCAGCGCCCACAAGGGGGCAATATCGCCCACTTTGGGAAAGACAGCAATAAAGTATTGAGTATTTTCTGACAAGCTTTAAATTACTTGCTTGGTGTGGTTGAAGCATTAAGTATTTTGATTTTTATTTTTTTCAACGAAATTTCTTATGTTCTGACATTAAAGGTACTTGTGTGACCCGTTAGGAAGATAGATATACAGTTTTCCTAATGAGTAACAGTGTGACTTGATGAGATTTTTTTCCCCAACGAGTAACAGTGTTACACGATTGAGTGTGACTCGTTAGGAACATGCGGTAAATAGCTAATATAAAAGTAATAAGTTCAAGATACTCAACTTCTTTAAGGAAACACTTTATTTTAGACTTGAACACCGAGTTGGTTTTTTATTTGCTCTAAAATTCGATATTGATTAGGTAGGCATAGCTTTGAAATCAACAAATTAAGTTATAGTTCATTCAACTTACGATGGTGATTTAGACAAATAAAACGTTTCGTTTCATGATTCCAACTTTCTACTAATAAAGATATTGAGTTGTAAAAATCAATCACTTCTTGTGTGTTTTCATCCTTCCAAAATATCAATTACTAATCTTTCTCAATTAACGGTTGTATCAAATTGTGCAATATAAATTACTGTCTAGTAAAATCTGTGTTACAAAAAGATAAACTGCAACAAAACGATAGTGTACGTAGCGATAAGCGACAGAAGTTTGCGCGGCATCGTCGCATCGAGTCCGAACAAGTTGCACACCTCGAACTTGTTGGACACACGAGACATTCGGCAGATATTCTTGTACATTCGCCTTTCTTGCTCTGAAATAAAAAGAAAAAAACTGTTACAATTCGTTCGCTTTAAGTTTGCCGCTGGCGATATGACGTCACTCGAAGGGAAGCGTCTATAACTTTATCAAAATATATTAAAAATATTTTTTATTTATTATTATAGATAAAAATTGTGTATTTGCGTAAAATAAGACACATTAATTGCGTTTAATCACTAACTAATTGCGTTTAATCGCGGTTGGGATCGCCACGGACCGGCAAACTTAGCGCGAACGGGTGTAGTGTAGTTTGTCGCACTGAGCCCCGATTACGGTAACTTTTATAACGTCTACAATCCAGACGCGTTTCTGATTCTGCGATACGATTGGTCAAAACAGCTGACGTACGCTGTTGAACGACCAATCGTATCGCAGAATCGAGAAGCGTGTCTGGATTGTTGACGTTAAAAATTACCGTAATCGGGGCTCTGACTGTTATGTACCACGGACGAAAATATTGTGCAAATGCGGGTGGATGAAGAAAATTAATCGCGCTCGAGCAGACGACGCCGAATCTATTCAGTCTGCCCGCGACGACCATGACTCGTGCAACGGAGTCTTTTTCGGAAAATCAGACAAATTTCTGCATACAGTACCCTCTTAGGCTGAGTTGCACCACCTAACTTTGACCGTAAATTTAACGATAACCGGTGTTTTTTGTATGGAGTTTGACAAATTTTTGACGTTTGTCAAAGTTAAATTAAGATGGTGCAACTCAGCCTTGATTGTGAACTAATAAGTTAAGTTCCAAAATACTGAACTGTCCTATGCATGACGTTGACAGTGGAGCGCCACCGTCAATACCGGAACGCTGTTTCCGATTTTTGCCATGTTGGAAACCATTTAGTTGAACGATGGTAGCGCCACCCTGTCATTGAGTTTGGTGGGACAGTTCAGCGTGGGTCATCTATAGCTACATATTCATCGAAACCTCCGAGTTGTGAGACTCACTCACACTCATATTATATCATTGTAGCATAGAGGCGAATAGGTATATTTATTGCAGTGTTTTTGTTTCTGAGAACATTATTTAATGAAATAAAAAATTGTTTGGATGTTTTCAATATTATTTACGAGACTACGACTGTTCGATTCACACCGTAGAATGAGGGTAGTTCTACGGTTTACACATTCCAACGCAAGCGCTCGCGCATTCGTCGCTCAGTTCGGCTTGGGATGTCACGCGTACCACGTAGTTGTTTTCGGGGCTCGGTGGAAAAAACAACGTCCTGAAGCTACGGACTTATCGTTTGTTGCAAGAAGTGTATAATGTGTTTGTGTGTGATCAATACTGAAGACTATTTTTCTGGACAGGATGCCACGCTTTGGAACCTCATTATGTTGGTGTGTTAATGGACGCTCTTCGGCTGCGACTGCAGTTATTTTAGACTTGGTCAACGTGAGTGGTTATTCCATATTTATAGTTGTTGCAATGCAATTCACGAAGGCGAGTGAGCTTTACATGTGTGGTGGTTCGATGTTGTTCATTTTTCAAAAGTTTTGATAGACATTACACTATCTTTATGTGCATGTACACGTACCTACACACATAAGTAAAGCTTACTCGCCTTCGAGAGTTGCAAGAACTATACATAGTTTGATTGGAAGTGTCTTAGTAGGTACTTGTATGTGTTTCTGTTTTGTGTAAAGTATTTCTATTTATCTATAGGCATACCACCGTCTCAGACATAAACAATAGGAACGTTTTTTATTCCGACAAAAAGGTACATAAAATCATTGAATTGCATTAACTTTTTTCTGAGCTTTTTTTACGTAAACCTAGTAAGTGAGAATTCAGTTCATACCACGTTTAGGTCAATCAAAACATCCTCCTCTTTACCTTGGTGGAAAATGAGCCTTACTCCAATAAAGAAGACATACCAGAGCACTTGTCATTGGTGATTTGCGCTAAGCTGTTGACCACCGCATCATTGACAGCCATGTAGAATCTCTCGGACTCCACGCTTAGCACCGTCTCGTACATGAAGTTCTTCAGAATCCACACAAAGAGCGTGCTCGCAGCATACATGTTACGAACCTGTAAAGCAACAAAATCAAAAGTCATATCGGACCCAGATAGATATTTTTAATTTTTATTTTAATGCCACACAATTTAAACTACCTACCAGGGGCATGCCTGAAATATGATAGGGGAATACCAAAGATTATGATGAATTTGGTACCTAAATAGATTGTTTCATCCACGAAGACGCGCCCCACCAATTTTTGGTCGAGGGCTTCCCAAGGGGTGCAGGGAGTTTGATCCGAGCAATCTGTGCGTCATTAATGTAGTGTGAGTGTGCGCTCATGGATAATTTAGCGTGTACCGATAACTCTATTAGCGGAAGAATGGTAAGACGCGTCTTCGTGAATGTAACGATCTATCTAACAAATATTTTATACTCTTTTCTTACAGCGTGCGTCTATATACTGCAAGTGTTTAACTTTAATGTACCGTTTTACATTTAATTTTTACCTCAATGCTAGCTAACTGAACCAGGGTATAAACTGTTATTATAGTATGCACGAATGTTTCCATGCAGTGGTACATAATCTGAAATAATTAAAAATATTTTTTAAAAATAACAGTTCAAATAAGGGGTAGGTAATAAATTTTTAGCGGAAACTAATTACGCTTCTAAAATGGAAATGGAAGTATAGTATTTACCAATATTTGAAAAGCACCCTTTGCAGTTTCTGAAGCTTCCAAAATGTTGGCGTAAACCTTTAAAATATTCTCCAAATCACAGGACTCTTCTGTAAACGGTCCCGTGAAGGTCTTCACCGCCGAATGATGCTCAAGATTTGAAATCCATTTTCTCAACGCTGACGTTAAAAGTTTCATAATTTGAACAATGTATATGATGTGAAAGTCAAACGTAAACAAACTAAATTGACAAATCATCTCGAAAATCATGCGCCAAAAATATGACTTAAACATAAAAAGCATAGTAATAAAAGATACTAAATTGCATACTGTGAAGTTAGTAAACCAAATCCAATTATATTTGGTATGTTTTTTCAAAACACTTTGAGAAATTACTTGGGATCTGGACAAGTCTTGAAGCTTCAACACAATGTTAATGTTGTCATCTTTGAAAGATATGGTAACGTAGAAGACCAAGAGGAAACCAATGCCGTAATATATAGAATCAAATACATTAACAAAGGTGTGAAATAATGTGGCACCTTTATCGTTCCTCACAAAGATTCTTATGATAAACAACGCAATAAGTATAACAACTCTGATGAAACCTGTTACAGCAGTGACAGTACTGATGCCAGTGATAAAGTTATCGGCTATTGTGTACATAGGAACGAAAATAATCGACAAAAGCAAATTCATAGGTCGAAGAAACGCGTGTATGTTTGACTCAATGGAATTGTGGAGCAAATACTCGCTCCGGCCAATATCAAATTTTCGAGCCATCGCACGTTTTGTCGGCTCAAGTAAGCGAAAAGAACTCCATCGTAGTATTAAATTTCCATTAGTAGATAAAAATGAAGTCGTCCACATAGAAATTACCAATGAATTAGACGAAGTACTTGTAGTGTTATTAATGAATAACTATAGGGCGGCAGGGCTGACAAAATGCCACGGGCCCCCGACCTGAGGGGCCCCCGACCCAAGACCCTGACCTCCTTGCAATGCTTCAGGGCGCGATGGCCACCTGAAAATAACCCTAGATACACCAAGGGCCCCATGCCCAGAATATGCCACGGGCCTTGGATGGTATAGTTACGCCACTGGTCGTGACTCACTTCCTTTTCTTTAGGTTTTCCTTGAGTGCCTTCAAAAATCGATTAAATTGATGTTTTCTGAGTTTGGTGCTAAAACTGAGATTTGTAGTCAATCGTAGACTCGATTCAAATAACCTACCTACTTACTTAAAATTTCTACTATTCAATGTCTATGTCTGTACCCCCAAGCGAAACAACATTAAGTACACCTTTTATAGCATATTAACTTTAAACATGGTTAGCTTTTTTAGTTATAATTACTTAACCAAGTGCGTGGGTCACATCAAATATGCCTGCATACGTCGAGTACTTAATGTTACTTGCCCTACATATTTTATGACATAGTAAACATGTTCATGTTCACTAATGATGAATTACAGTATCACAATGAACAATGAACAATGGCAGAATTGAACCCATTAATACAATTTAATGTACTCGTATGTAAAAGTATGACTAACAAAAACGGTTCTATTAGATAACCCTGAAGTACTTACTCATTCATTTTTATTTAGGTACATTTATTGAGTGCTTCCTGATGATTGCGTTACAAAATGGAAAAACTTCATTACAATCATTTCAATGTCTTTATTTATGTTATTTATGTTCGTTCACTCAGTTCTAATTAAAGTTTGAACTTTCTTATTGACTAATAAAACTTGATTCTACGAGTAGAGTTGTTAATGTATGTAAATAGTTGTGTTGTTACTTCCACGCCACACCACAAAATAAAATTCACTGAGATTTTGACATTACGTGATTTTATCATAGTTTTATTTACGTACCTAATTACAAATATTCAATTAACTACTTAGTGGTGTGGCTAAAAAGTATTATTTACACTGCAGCCGTGCCACCTCTCTGCTTTAAAACTGATAAAATCATACAAAATATTTCTTAAACAATGTAATTTCTTAATAATCAATCATATAAAATCATTTCTTTATTGCTTACGGCTCAAACTTGGAGTGCAAGTGTGGTTGTGTTCACCAGTCGATGAATAAGCACATGATGTCGTGCCCTGCGTGCCCAAACAACTGCACGCAGGAAGATTTAATGAATGCTACTGACACTCTTGTAGCGGAATTTTGGGCTGATACTGTAGGTAGGTTTGTTGTCGACACGACAAGAAAAAGAATATCTTCATTACTTTAAAATTACAAACTGAAGCAATACAAAAGTGTACGATATCAGTAACGCGATTAATTTCCTAGAAGTTGTTGCATTCAGACCGAACAAGTTGCACACTTCGAAGTTGTAAGAGACCCGGGAAATACGTATCACATTCTTGTGCATTCGCTTCTCTTGTTCTGGAATAATACAGAATTTAATATAAATACTTAAGTACGATAGGCAGAATTGCCAAAATCAAGTGGTAATGAACAGGGCACATAGCGGGTTGAGCTGATGGCGGTCGGGGCAGAAAAATTCTCGAGTGGCGACCACGGGCCGGAAGACTCTGTTTATAAATAAATAAATATCTTTGGACAATCTCACACAGCGCCATCTAGCCCCAAAGTAAGCAATTAATATGCTTGTGTTATGGGTGCTAGCTTAACGCATATACTACTTAGTATATACTTTTTTTAATACATACATATTATACATAGTAATACCCAGACCCATCACAGAAATTAAAATTCATCATTTCAATTTCTGCCCGGCCGGGAATCGAACCCGGGACCTCTCGGCATAGTAGTCCGTTCTGAACCACTACACCAAACGGCCGACAAACATGAGTTTATCATAACATATGTATGAGTAAGAACATCGTTAGCTACATCAAAATATTATGAATTTTAAAAATGAGCTGTGCCTCTTTTCCCGGCCACCCTTTAGTACGCCACTGCTCAATACCTAAAAAGACTTAAACAAAACATTGAGAGCATTACCTGAACACCGATCATCGGTCATTTCTAATAAGCTGTTGGTCACCGCTTCATTCACAGCCATGTAAAAACGTTCGAACTCCAAGCCAAGTAATGAGACGTATATTATATCTCTCAGTATCCACCCAACTACCATTGTAATCAGTGTTATTTCTATGCCACTCTGAAAATCATGTCAATAAATTAACCAAATCTAAGACTACTGCAAATGTTAACGCTAAAATGATTGTGTAAAATTGTTTCTGGTTTCAAATTTGAAAGGCATGGCAGGGCCCAAAAGATAAGGAGACATGTAAAGTGCCCCATAAGGGCTACCTTTTCTTTTTTTTATTATTTTCTATTGACGTTCATAAGTACCACTTGTGGTCTAAACTGAATAAATATTTTTTGATTTGATTTGATTTGATTTGAAATAAAGATTTATTATTATTATTATGTTTGTACGCTTTGGAGCTCACGGGTCAAAAGTGGCCCGGTCCTTTATAAGGCTTGCGTGGGGATACAGATCCAACACGTAGAGGCCGTTTTAAGCGCAAAATAATCGACAAAAGTGAAAGTGGTGCACATGCTGGATCTAGTCTCTGACTATATCATGGGATGTAGCCAGAGACCATCCCCAGCCTGTGCACAGGAGCTATTGCAGTTATTGGAGAATGGACTAGGGTTATGGATGAAGGATGGATGGAGTGATTACTGGGCTATGGATGGAGACTACGGGACACCTGCCTGGTTCATAGTCTCGGACTGAAAAAATGGCAGGCGGTGACTAGCCAGCGACTAAATGGGCCCCCCCTGGCGTCATGGGTCGTATAGACCGGACTGAGGGGCAACATTGGCGTCTGCCAGCTCAGGGGTGTAGAGAGTATACTGTAATATACTGTAATGTGACTGATTGCTTAGTTACGATTCTCCGACATGTCTGCCCATACATCTCGCCCGCCAGTTCATTAGTTACTTACTCCGTGCCCATGGCGCTTGCAACAATGCCGAAAATTAAGGAGGCTCAATTAAGGTACATTGTAGCAAATCCCGTTAACAATAATTATTCTCTTAGTAACCGTGAAAGTTTCAAACAATACTTATAACATAAAATACTCTTCAACACATAAAATATACACGGTGCTACTTTGTATTATGCCATTTACAGAGGTAACTATATCACTGACTGACACTGAACAAATCAAATCAAATCAGCATGACCAATGGTCTATATTCACTATGTTTAGCAGCAGATGTCCTATGGCTGAAATGATGATGAACATAAAAAAAAAATAATTGCCTTAAAATTTTCCTTTTTAATTTTGAGTATTTTATTTTATTGACAATCTGTTTTAAACTAACCACTTTAAATCATAACAACACATGCACATCAATTCTTGGCGATGGCGTGGTATTGAATGTGTAAGAAAAAAAATATTTCTCCCAATTCGTACTGCAAAACTAAATTTACTGTGTATGTAGTAACGTAAGTGCGCCTATTAACGACCCCCCAAAATTTGTATTCTATTACCGCCCTATTTTTCTTTCTTTCATAAAAGACATAATAACAGGTTCCCGAAAACACGTTACCTAAAATATATCTAGATATGTTTATTGACTATCAAAACGATTAAACTTTGTTTTCGTAAATAACCAGTAAACGGAGTTATTTGACATTAAATGGGACGCACCCGCAACAGACGCACTTTTCATACTGACGCGCTCCCAGCTACTTAAGGTGCACCTTGTTATTAATTAGCGATTTTAACACATTTAAAATAAGTATACCAACATGTTTTTGCATAACAATATTAATTAGTACTTTAGTTTCCTTAATAAACCCTCGCTGTATTTTTGTGGCTAAAATACAATTTTAAATAAGGGCGGTAATAGAAACACTTTTCATAATTTGGTTCCTAATAACGACCCATGGCGTTGTTAGAATTTTGATAAAGTATTTTGTTTTAGTGTTTATATGTTTAATTACGCATTTAATTCCATTTTGTTGTTTTAATCGATTCATAAGAATATTTCACATAAGTAAATCAATTAACGCCATACGTTAAATTGTCATAGGTTTGGCATAAAACTGCAATGAACATTAAAGAATATCTCTAATAATGTATGACGATATATTTTGTAAAAACCTGTTATATTCTAATTAGTACCTATTTGATATAAAATAAAACCTAATAAAAATGATACTTCACTGATCACGTCTTCATTAAAGTAGATATTTTAGCTGGTTACCGTTTTTTTTACGGTCGGTAATAGAATAAAGTAATATTCATAGTTAATTCCATTACCGCTCATAACTATAACGCCACCTGCAATGACTTTTATGCCTGTATTTTGGATATAACTAACATTTATGACATGACACCAAACCAATCATGCGTTATCACAACTACTATGTAACTTTTTAAGATCTTTTGAATAATAAATAAATAATTTAAAATAATTATACAGACAGTCCAATTGTCCATAGTTTAAATTAAAATACACAATTACACACAATTAAAATCAAAAACTAATTAAAAATTAAGTCTAATTAAAAATAAAATATTAAATGATTTTTTTTTTATTAAAACTCAAATAATTATAGTTTATATTATAATGACACCCACTACTCACTAGAACACCAGGTACCGTGTAATCAAGTATAATAGAGGAATTTATTATTCTACTATTTCTTCTTGATTATTTATTTATTTTCGAGAATGGTGCCTTTTCTCTTTTAATAATAAAAAATAAATATAAAAAAAATAACTTGAAAAAATCAAGTGGTTCCCGAGCCTCTGAGCGGGAATCGAACCCGTGCCTCTTGGAATATACCCAATTGAAGAGCAACTACCTCCCTGACAATTTTCAGCTAAATCGGTTCAGCCGTTCTTGAGTTATAAGTGGAGTAACTAACACGAAAGTCTTCGAGCAGTGTGTGTTGCCAGTGTTGACATATGGATCCGAAACGTGGTCGCTTACTATGGGCCTCATAAGAAGGCTCAAGGTCACCCAAAGGGCGATGGAGCGGGCTATGCTCGGAGTTTCCCTGCGTGATCGAATCAGAAATGAGGAGATCCGTAGGAGAACCAAAGTAACCGACATAGCTCGCAGAATTGCTAAAATCAAGTGGCAGTGGGCGGGGCACATAGCTCGTAGAGACGATGGCCGTTGGGGCAGGAAAGTTCTCGAGTGGCGACCACGGGCTGGAAAACGTAGCGTGGGCAGGCCTCCTACTAGGTGGACCGACGATCTGGTAAAGGTCGCGGGAAGAGCCTGGATGCGGGCAGCGCAGGACCGTTCATTGTGGAAAACCTTGGGGGAGGCCTTTGTCCAGCAGTTTATGAACAGTTCTATAAATGTAATATTTAGTTCCTAATTAGGACTAATGATACGTTTCACGGCTTCGCTCTCATGAATGTTTACGACCGTCAAAAGCACGTCGATAGATGGCGTTTTTAAGGATATTTCTCACCTCTTAACTATTTATTGAAATTTAGTTTGTCACATATCGTCATAAATTGTAGCCTATATATTAGCCTGGGTTATAAATAATAATACTGTAAAGTTTCAACAAAATCCGTTTATTAGTTTTTGCGTGAAAGAGGAACAAACATCCAGACATCCAGACAAAAAGGTTACAGTGAGCCAACCATAAAAGATAGACATATGCTGTAGCGGACTTTTTTATAGAACTTTTAAAGGGGAAAATCCTATCATACATAATTTATGGAAACTTTAACCGTTTACGCAGCGTCAGCTCTCAAAAGGAAAAAAATCACTGATTTGAAACATTCTTCATTGGTGCTCCGCTCCTAGTGGTCTTAGCGTGATGATATATAGCCTAAAGCCTTCAGGGATTAACGGACTATCCAACACAAAAAGAATTTTTCAAATTGGTCCAGTAGTTCCTGAGATTAGCACGTTCAACCAAATAAACAAACTGTGATTATTAAATTGCGCCACTACAAACCGTACCAACAGATGGCGCTGTTACGATCTTACTATGGCAAACTCCACCGCGCATACAATCCTGCATCGCGGTGACGAAGTTTTTTACCCTGCCCAGTATATATAGACAAACCAAGATTGTGTAAAATAAATGCTCTAACTCCTTATGGTGGTTGAGCGTCATGTTCCACAACTTCAGCTTTATAATATTAGTATAGATTGTGTGATTGAATACTCATTGTTACTACTTGAATTCAAAGATTATTTTCATCATTGTTATAAATAAATTAAAGTGTCTTTTCTATCACCACGTCTTATATCTAATTTTGTAACGTTTATCCGAAGTCAGCTTAAACTGGCGGTAATAGGCGCATTTACGTTAGATGGAGTAAGATTGTACAGAATTTCTGAAGTCTCAGGTAGACATTTACAGAAGAATATCTACTAAGTTAAAATAATCTGCTTGAGATATGTAAGCCTCAATTTATTGGATTAAATTAAATTTATTGTTCGTTGACGTTTTTGTCCAATATTAACGCGAAAGTAACTCTTTTCTGTCTGTCTGTCTCTCTTTCACGCCTATACCACTGAACAGATTTTGATTACATTTGGCATAGAGATAGTTTGAGTCCTGGGAAAGGACATCTTAGGATATTTATTTTTTGGTATTTGGAACAGGGACGCGCGCAATAAAGTTTTTCAGTGACAGACAAAATACCACGCGGGCGAAGCCGCGGGCATAAAGCTTTTAATAAATTATTCTTACCTTACCATTCTCCACAGCTAAAATTTTTATTATAGTATAAATATTTAAGATAACGTGCACGAATGTTCCCACAAAGTTATATAGAATCTAAAAAATAAAATTAATAAATTAATTTCCTATAATATTTTTGAATAAGCTTCTTGAATGATTTAAAAAGTGACTTACCAATAATTGAAAAGTGTTTTTGATGATATCAGAACTTTCCAAAATGTTTGTATAAGACGCAAATGTGCATTTCCAGTGGCTTTTTTCTTGAATCTCAATCCAGTGTCTTAACGCTTTTGTTAAAATGCTCATGATTCGGATAATATAAATCATATACACGTCGAATACAAGCAAAGTGAAATGGCAAATGGATTCATAGAGCATCAACCAATTGCTGAACAAATAAATGGTTATGCCTGACATAAGGAGATAGAAGAAAACAGGAATGATGATAT